CTCCCAGTAAAACACCCAGAGCAGCTTTGAAACAAGGGGCTGTTTCACAACCTGAGGCTCTGAAACAAGAAATCTGCATTAACATTTGGCAGCAATTACAAGTGAACTAGGATAGAGGCTGGCCATGACCCTGCATCTTCTGAGCATGGGAGGAAAGTTTTCTTAAATTTGGCTGCTTGGGATGAGGTTGTGGTGGGGAGATGCTTTGCCAGAGAAGGGAGCAAGGAATGATAAGGCCTTGGAGCCAAGATGTAAGAATTAAATAAGCTCAGGGAGAATGTCTAGGTCAAAACTGGTATTTCTGACATTATTGTTTTTATGAATAAAAACAAGTCTTGGCACAAGGGAGTAAGTTTGGGTGAATAAATTTTAAGGTTATTCATGGGTGAGCTGTTTGATTCTTGGCTGTTAATTCTGTTTTGACATCATAGGTGTCGCAAGGATTTCTTTGTATCCCAGAGTGGATAACAAATGCAGAGAACTGGAGAATGGCCTATAGCTGATAGTAAACAATGGAAAAAATCTATGAGTTAAATTTATTGAACCTGCAGAACTTTTTTCTGAATTTCCTCAAATAACATCCTCTTTCCCCAAATAACGAGTGACATGATCTACACAAGCATGAGAAAACAAAGTCAACATTAATCTGCATGGAAACAGTATCTGTAAATCAGGATCTTGTGGACACTTTGTTCAGCACTGAAAGTGTGTTAGCCCTTCTTCCAGAAATAATAAAATCAAAATGTTTCCCTTCTGGGTGAGCACTTTTGATACTTTTTAAAGTAAACCCACTCTTAGTCAGGGAAGCACTGCAAAGTGTTTGCAAGAGCAAGGGGCTGGTTTTGTCAGAGGGAGGCAAGTGGCAAAGTGCCTGTGGACTTAAATCCTAAAGAAAACAGCCACTGGAGCAATGAGCTGTAATCTTCCTTAATCCATAATATCAGCTGTTGACAGATACATACAGAGTGATTAATAGGATGCTAAAAAATGTTAACAAAGCAGTAGGGACTTAGAGACCGCTCTGAAAATTTCCTTATCACACTTCTAAATTCACCAGAGGAACCATCATTACAATGGATGACAAAACATATGTTTTCTCTAGCAATTTGCTGGCACATCTAATCAAACGTGTCATCACAAGTGGGGAGTGGAAATGAAACTCCTGTTCTGCTCTTCCCTGCTCCTTCTCAGAGATGAGAAGAAAAGCCCCACTGGGATTCTGCCATCTCACAGGTTCCACACACCCTCCTCAGGCACCAGATCTTTCCAGCTGGAGCTTCTACTCCAAACATTTATCTTGGAGGGATTTGTTTCTTTCTTTATTTATTTGTTGTTAACAAGGAATTAAAGGAGAATGGGGGATGAGCAACACATTCTCTGCCTAAGACGACTTTCACCATTTAGCAAGATTTAAGTTTCTGTTGACTTCAGTAAGGGAGGGGAGTGACTACAAGGAGCGATGCTCAATAATAAAGATATTTCAGACTTGAATTAGATATTCATCCTCAGTCTGGAGGATATGATCTTGAAAAAAATATTCAGCTTAAAAAGCAGCATGATAAATACCTTTCTAGAGCTCTATCCAGGAGGTTATTATTCCTATCAAGGCCTTTATAAGCTCCAAAAATGTGAGCACAATCCTACATGCTTGATATAAGCCTCTATAGATTTCTGTGGGAAAATGCTGAAGGGGGAGGGGAAAAAAGTTCAGTCTCTTTATTTTCCCCCCTGTTGAGATTAAGTATAATCTTTTTAGTATATGCTCCACTATTTTACTGAGCTTGTTTTTTAATGAGATTATTCAGAAATCAGCTCCTAGATTTTGCAGTTCCCATGCTACCTTCATTCCCCTGATGATATTCATGAGTAGAGAAGCCTTAACACTTCAAAGGCAAACCATTCAGCCCCCAAGACTGCATATAGGCAGGCCCAATAAAACTGAAATTATCCATCCTTGATGTGGTAAAGACTTGTTCTCTATAGCTCCTTTTTAGGGGACTGTAACACAACCAGAGCTGTGCATTGAAATGGGCAGATTATGGACAGGAAATGAGGAAAAATCTGCAACTGCTCCATGTGAAACTGCACAGTTTGGGTTTTGCAGACACTGATTCTGCTGCAGAGAGCACAGGGCAGCCTACTGCATGGTTATCCACAAAAATATTCTCTCTGGGCTGGAACAAAGTGGTGCTGATGGAGCATCACAGTTCCCTCTGGGAGACATGGACTGGCTCCTCACTAGTGGGAACTGCCACGGAACTCATTATGGAGCACAATTCCTCCTGGACAGAGCTCAGCAGGGTTAATCTGGCTCAAAGCTGGGGCTGAAGCAGCCTCTCCCTCCTGCCATCCCCTCCTGGTGTTTCCCTCTCTGGGTCCCTGTGCAGACCCTGAGCTCCAGCAGCAGCACTTCAGCCATTGAGTGGGAGAAAAACAACCAACCCAAAAGCAGATTTTGTGCATTCCTTGGCAGCTGTGCTATGCCATCGTGACTTTTTTACAAACCAGAGCCCAGAGTCAGAGCCCATGACTGCAGCAGAAAAAAGTGTGGTAGCAACTGCTGGGATCAGGGTGTGATGAGCCAGCAGAGGAAGCTGGATGCATTTGTCTGCCTGACTGTCTGGTTCTGCTGCTTCAGCTCAGCATTCCCAGAGTTTAGGGAGGTGGATTGAGGTGGATTTATTCTGCTGGCTGCTGCAGCCCTCTCGTGGCCACACTCCTGTTGCTGGGGAAGCACAGCCTGAAATTGTGCATGGGAAGAGAGCATCCTTTAGAAAGCAAAACAAATAGTTATTAAACAGCATGTTCACCAAAGAATAAATATACAAACAAATGGGACACTTAGGATGCTATTTATTCCAGGTGTACAAGCAGAGTTGTTGATAAACTACTTGCTTTTGAAGAATCAAAGGAAAAACTACATATAAAGCATTGATCAGCTGTGTTTTTAATGGGGTGCCCTGTTTCATCTCCCCAGCCTGTCACTAAACAGTCTGCTTTGAAGTGCTCCTTTTTTTGAGCATTTTCACATTGATTTACAATTTTGTGGGTAAATTTTGTGCTCACAGATGGGTCTTGCTGAGTATCTGCTTATTGGAAATGTGTCTGTCTGTGCAGGGGTGGAAAACCTCTTGGGCTGGGGAAGATCTGGGCAAACCTGTATTGTGCCAAATTTCTGCAAAGATTAATGGGTAGTTTTTTCTTTGAAGCTTGAAAAGCAAGCCTGTTTTATGGTACCTTTTGTTTTTCCTCCTAATCTACCACGTAGAGACACCACTGCTGATTGGAAATAAACTATGGGAATTCATAGTGGAAGGAGAGCAGTGATGGGAGCAGTGCTGAGATCCTGTCCAACAGCCCAGCTGCTGGGAGCCAGCACCAGCAAAGGAGATGCCTGTGGAATAAACAATAGGATGGATCAAAGGGAAAAGCTTGTGCACAGGTATGGGGTACTCTGGAGGAGGCTGTCCAGTTCTGACTGACCTTTCTGGAACTGACAGCAATAGTACTTGCAGGCCAGGGTGCCTCAGTCCTGCCAGCGAGATGATGTCATGCTGCTGTTTCCCCATTATTTTGCTCATTTTTCCTGTTGCAGTAGTTTCAAGAAAGATGGCTGCATTTCAAAAAGATATAATAAAACCCAAACAAACCCAAACAAACCAAAAATGCCAAAGGACAGAGTGGAGACACAATGATTGCAGAGTTCATTACCTTTTCAGGATGATGCTGCCCCTGGCAGTAACTGCATTCAGCTGGGTGGGGTGGGGCAGTTTTAGCAGGATCAGCAGGACTCTGGGTGACAGTGACATGGAATTCTTGTGAGCCAGTGTGAGGATCCACGTGTTCCTGGTGCTGGAAGAAGCCATTTGACCCACACCACACCTCCACCTGAGCCCCTCCAGGTGCACACAGGTGTGTCCCACCCACCTTAAGCATGGAAGAATCAGACATAGAGATAGATGGCTTCTGTGCCTGCAGCTATTTCCCACCCAAGCTGGGTTTTCCCCCCTCAGAGGGGAATTTGGTTTCCAATGAGGCTGCTGACACTGCAGGAAGCTTCCCCATGTGCTCAGTCTAAGGTCTGCACAGCACCATGGTGCCAAATGCAGAACCAAACCTCACTGGCATCCTGAGTGGCATCTCCCTTTGGAGCTGGCTGCTCTGGCAGCACCTCCTTCAGCTCTCTGAACAACCCAGGGCCCTTGGGAAATAGTTTCAATTTACCTATATTAACATTTTAACCACATACACCACATTTTAGTGCCATTGGTGCTGTTTTGCTGTGCTACAGTGATGCTGCTCCAAGAGAGCCAAGCAAGCTGCAGCCCTCTCCCAGCTCTTCCACATCCTCAGGCTCATCTTTCTCGCTTACAAGAAACCCTTAATGCCTTCCATATAATGGTACTTTGCATATTTTTTGTTTTTTAACTCAATGACCTCTTTGCTCTTCATTTTCTATAACCCCACATGTGCAGAACCAGATGTCACTTTTTTTGTTTTAAGATTGCTTTTATTTTATATGGAGACAAATAGTAGTAAGAAAGTAACAAAATTAATGTCTGCCTGAAAGAGCACAGGGCAAGTATCATCCTGGGTTCCAAAATATTCTCCAAACAAAAAGGCTGATAAATTTTTAAGACATGTCTATATTGTGAGATGCTGAGAGACTTGGGGCAGTAAATGTCCATGCCAATAAAACCATGTGAAATAGCCTAGTGCAGAGCAACTTGCAGCTCAGGCCTGGGTGCAGTGCCATTACCTGGGGCAAAGCAGCAGGGTCATCTTGCTGGTTTCGTCCTGGTGATGCCTCAGGTTTTAGCTTTTATATTTTTCAGATTCTGTGCTGGTTTAGTGTGTAGTTCTGAGCTTCATATTAGGGGATAGTGAGCTCTCTTCACAGAGTAGGGAGACAAAACAATTCCTTCTCTAGCTGGTGACCAAGGACAAATGATCCAAATCTCAGGCCCAAGAGCATAAACAACGTGGGCTGAAGAGAGAAAAACAAGCAGGATGGGACTTCATAATCTAAAGCTGGAATTGGACAATTAACTCCAATATGCAAATGGAGCAGAACTTATGAGAGACCCCATGAGCGCTCATGCATTTTGTGACCATTTTGGTACAGCCCTGGCTGGGCTCTTGTGCTGTCCAAGGTGCATTCATTGAGGCAGTTTAATAAATCCCTACTTCATTCTTTAGCTCTGTCCAGTCTCTGCTCTAGGTCAGCCTTCACATTAATCAGTTCCTGGTGACCCAGAGGGGACAGAAGGCATCAGTGGCACACACGGCAGCAGCAGCTTTGTGAGGGGGCCGCCACCCCTCACAGCCGCCCAGGCCGCGCACACCCGTCCGTGGCTGTGCAAACGCGCTGCCCGCACAAAGTGCAACTCCCACTGAAATCACAGGCAGGAGCACAGTGTTAAATACAAGTCCAGGCACACTGCAGGCTCTAGGACTCCACGACGATCATGCTGAGGTTGTTGCTGAAGATGACCCTGCCGTCCCTGGTGCTGCTGCACTCGGGCTGCCGCAGGGCCGCCTGCAGCCGCCGCCGCAGCGCCGGCGGGGCCGTGCCCAGGAAGTTCTTGGTGCCCGTCAGGAAATCCATCATGCGGCCGCCCACCGCGTCCCCCTCGCTGAAGCACTCGGTGATGTCCCAGCCGGAGGGCAGCTCGTAGACGCGGTGCTGCACGCCCAGGCTCTGCAGCACCTCGGTGATGCCGCTGCAGGTGATGTAGTGGCCGCTGTCGGTGGAGGGCAGGCAGTCTCTGTGCTTCTTCCACAGGCTGGCCCAGCCGCTGCTGTCTGCCGGGGCACCAGGGAAGGTTATTTTGGCAAAGCCAAGGCAGTCAAACTAATCAACTATGAAATCAGCTGGAAAAGCTCCCTCACTGCCTGCCCAGCCCTTGACACCGCAGGAGGAGAGTTTTCTCCCTACTCATAAATATCTGCGCCTCATAAAACCCTCCTTTCCCTCAGCCCTCCCTCCAAAACTGTTCTGTTTAAAGGAAACTCCTTAAGAGATGCCTCCAGCACTGAATTTGCCCAGAGGAGGGGTACACACAGAGGTACCAATGTGCTGAGCCTGAACATCCCATGCTACCTCTTAACCGTGCCTTGGCCAAAGCAGTGCAGATGTTTTCACACATCAAACCTCAATTATAAGTGCTCATTGAACAATATATACCTCAAAAACACAGCAAGGGAAACGGCCTACAGGCAATGTGAGAGGCAGTTTTTATGGGGAACATGGAAATTTGTGCTTTATCCACCACACTGTGAGCTGGGGATTCATGAATGGCACAAGGGATGAAACACTCAATTCTTTTAAGTGCTATCATGTTGTTACTCTTTTTTCCTGTCCTGCCATAAAGCCTGAAGCTCTCAGCAGCATCTGCTGTCTTCTGGGCTCTGGGTCATTACTGTGCAAAGGTAAGAGTCCTGAGAATGAGTCCACCCAGAGCTCAGGTTGTGTTTTTCCAGTGCTGCTTTCACCATGAGGAAGGATAGACCCTCATTCATAGACAGCCACACTTCTCTCTACTACCTCAATTCCATAAGCAGGGAAGCAAGGGCACAAAGGCTGTGCCTAAGTGGCCCCATCAGACACTGGACCCCAAGGCTATGCCCAAGATTGCATTCTCCATATGAAATTCAGCATTTTTTAAAATTATTTACTATAGAATAAGCAGCACTGACATCCCCAGATAAATATCTGTGGCTCTCAAACTTCAAAGCTCTTCAAAACTCCAGCAATGGACCAAAAAAAAAATACAAGGTCTCCCTTACCTGACAAAATTATGATCAGGAGTTTACCATGATGGTCAAGGCAGCTGTGGAAAAACTTGATAGTACTGCGAATATCCTCCACACGGTACAGCATCTAGAAGAGCCAGTGGCACACAGCCATTATTCCTCCTCCACAGTGCAATGACCCTCCAAAGGCTTAAACTCTTTCTCTTAGAGGTGTTTTAAATTCTCTTCCAGATGCTTCCCAGCCTTTCCTGATTCCACATGCCCATTTAGGGACACCTCACAGCACTCAGCATTGCCAGCTTTGGTGTTTGTAGAGCTTCTGCAGGATTGCTATGGGAGAGCAGTGCTCAGCTCTGGTCATAAATTCAAGCAGAGAGCAGAACTGGAGGGGGCAGTTAAATCCAATAGCCCTGTGTTAAAGCAATGGCCATTACCTGGATCATATGGATGAAGTCAAATTTCTTATGTGTGCCTCTCTCCTTCACCTGCTGTTCATACTCCAAGGAAGTGAGCTGGTGCCAAATAAAAGAAACATTCTGCAGGTCTGGAGCTTGATTCACCAGCTCTGTTTCAAAAAGTAGAAGAAAACCCTGAATTTCATAAAATAGCAGAAAAACTCATCATTCAAATGGATGGTCCTTGCTATAACCCAGGCAGCAGGTGTAGCCTTACCTTTGTAAGCTGCCACGTGCTGTGGGTTGGGCTCCACAATCTCATTGTCAATAAAGACCCCTGGGTGCACAGCCTGCAGTATCCTGATCATTTTCAAATCCTGCTCACCTATTCAATAAACACAAAGCAGGTAAATGCAATGGAAGGATGCCAGTGCACCACTCCTGCCAGGAAATCCCCCAGCAGAAGTGAGGCATGTTCTGCCTTGTGGCTCATGTGGCACAGCCTGCTGATACTCCTGCCATGGTACTGAACTGCTCAGGCTGACAGAGAGGTGCAGAGGAGCCAGAGAACAAGGCAAAGACAAGCAACAGCACAGAAACCTGCTAACGGCAATACCCTGGGTCGTGGGACAGACAGGCCAAAGGAATAACAGCTCACTGTTTACAAAAATAACCACAAAACAGCTTTCAACAATCCTACAAAGTCTGAATGGGTGCAAGGAGGCAGCTGACACAGCTGTGACACAGCCCCAGCACCTGGGGACCTGCATCACAAGAGGAAAGACCCACTGACATGCAGAATCCTGGATCCTCCCTCTTTGGGGATTGTCCACATGGCCTCAGCCCAGGGCATCAATTAACTGATGGTTATCTTGGAAATACAGGTAGAGACTCACATATCTGTGTGGAAGTGCCCTGCAAATTTAGCTATTGGTGCTCCTGTGTGATCTCTGGAGAAGCAAGCAGCAGTCTGTCCTCCTGTTCTGGGAAATTTCCAGCCTCCTTTGAGGTGATACAGGTCATGCTGCTTACTTCCCAGAAATGCCAAGTGTATGAGTACCCCTGGTTAACTTCAAACTATGTAAATAAACAGCACATGTGACCACCTCGATGAGACCTCTGCAAGAATCCTGTCTGTAGCTGATGGTGGGGCCTAAAAATAGCCCTGGCCTTGCAAATGTCACACAGAGAGGTCTTGACACGAGACCCTGCATCCTCCCTGCTCTTTCAGCCGATGTACCAGCCACAGGAAGAGCTGTCATCCTTGGCAGGTGCTGCAGTACATAGAATTCAGGGGAGGAAATATCAGCCATGCCAGCACTACTGGGACATCCAAGGAAGGAGGAGGCTTTTGAAGTGAGAAAACAAAATACCCCAGGCCCGTGAGGAATGCAGTGGCAGCAGGGCAGGGCTGGCCAAAGGCTCAAGGGAGGAGGCTGAGGCTGCACCCATTGAAGGTGCCGGGACCAATATTGCTGACAGGAAGGCAGATCCCAATAGCAAGCAGCTGAATCATTAGTGCCAGTGTGCAAGTGCCTGGTCTGGGGAGCAGCAGCCCTCAGAGCTGCCTGCAGGTTGGGGCAGGGCCAGAGGCAGAGCATCGCTGCCCCGCACCCTGGAGCCACTGATGGAGGCAAATGGGTGCACCTGCAGCACGTGGATGTCTTAAAAGCTGCTAAAGTTTGGAGTTTTTTTCACTCCACCTCTGTAAAATTCCTTAATGCAGTGTTTGCAGGTAATAACATCTTCAACCAGGGTGTCTGTAAAAACAAACAGTAAAATGACAGCACTCTAGGGCAGGAACTTCTCTGCTGCAGCTTTCCCTGCCAGCAGCAACCCCCCAGCACTGACCACAGCAAAGCTGGGACAGGACTGGAACCTCTCTGCAACTGGAAAGTTCCAGCTCAGAGTTCAACCAGCCATGAGGAAACATGGGGTGGGTGAAAAAACGTGATTTGGAGCACAACACAGGCTTTCAGGATGTGGAGTCGGCCACTAATCCCCATTAATATTTTCATCAACTAAACTAATTCTGGGGGCTCTGTGAAACCAGAGTCCACCTCTGAAAAGGTCAGGGATCAGATATAACCTTTTACTTGGTGCCATCCCAGCTCCCTCCCTGCCCAGCCCCAGCTCTTGCAGACGTGGGTGCAGGTCTGGACCCCTGTCCTGGCATCACCCAGGAAACACAGGGAATTTTAGAGAGTTTATTTTCCCATTAAAACCTCCTCTGAAGAGGACATAAGGAAAATTAAGGACGATGCTAAAAGTTCATTTCCCCCTTGTGCTTTTGTGGAGTCAGAATTTCTGTTTTATATTACTTAATGAAAATAGAGGGTAATTGAGAACTGAATCATTTCTTCCTGCTTGGTTTCTCATATGCTCCAACTTATTCCCAGTTGGGGAAAACAATCAGATGCTAATTTTCTCTTACTCAGGAAAACAAAACCAAAAAAAAGTGAGAAAAATGCTTTCATTTGAAAGTATTAGCACTTAAAATTCAGCTGAAAATACTTTTCAAAGCAGAAGTAAACTCTGACAAATCAAACCACTGCTTCTTTTCTCTACTCTTTATTTTCTCCCAGGTTCCCTAGGAGCAAAGTTGGCTGTTTCACCACTTTTTTGTTTTGTTGTTTTGGCTTTTTTTAAACACAAATGCATTTAGAACAACTTTAAAGCTATTTTTTCAAAGGATAGGTTTGTCTCTGGGGAAAAATATCATTTGCAGTTAAACCCTACTTGTCACAGGGTAAAAAACACAGCAGTAACAAAGAAACATGTCTTGAAAAAGCTGATGCAGGTAATGGTTGTGGCCAGGTGGTTTTGCACTGCTGAGAGCAGGGCACTGCCCAGCCTTGGTCTCTTGGTCTCTAAAATCAAAGCAAAAGGAGATATCCCTTCAGGGGGAATAGTCTAAGGCAGGATTTTGGGTGGAAAGAACCTCTCCAATGTCTCTAATTCCCTCCAAAAAGGTTTGAAGATGCTCTTGTATCTAGCCAGAAGGAGGAGTCCTTGCTTTGAGGCAAATGAAGTCAGGTGAGAATCACCAAGAGGCAGAAACTAAACTAAAACCACACATTTCTCACTGCCCAGAAAGATCTGAGCAGCAGTGTTTCAGAAGAGAGATGGAGAGGGAAGAAAGGGAAGGAGCTCTGCTCTTATCCCAGCTCCACTCTTCCTTCTGCCCTTCTGTGCTTCAGTGGGCAATGCTGCCATTAATGTCTGAGGAATCCTCAGTGCCCAATTTTCCAGCATCTCCTTCTGCTGCCCACAGGTCCCCCTGTGCCACATCCCCACACTCCTCACCTGTGCCACTCCCAACTCCCAGAACGCTGAGGGTCGATTTTCCAGTGCCCAGACTGAAAGGATAAATACACAAATACACACATAAATAAAATTACTTAACCACACTGTGTCACACCACATCACGTTTTCATTCTTACAGCTTGGATGACCCATCAGCCTGGAAATTTTCACGTTATGCACGTGAATTGGGACAGAAATTTGATCACCCCTTTTGAGCCAGGTGATTACCAGCATGGCTCAGCCAGCTCATATTTCAAAGTACAGTAGGCATCACGGTGCAGAGTTTCTCACCCTTTGCCAAGGAGATTTCTTCAGGCTGTGGCTGGCAAAAAAAGCCTCTGGGAAGCCCAGGGCAAAGGGGCTGTCCCTGACTGGGATGGCACTGCTGGGGAAGCAGGGACAAGGTGAACTGGGGAAAACTTCAGCAGCCTCAGGAGGGAATATTGGATATAAATACTCAGAAAAGAAAAGAAAACCATTAGGCTATTCAGGAGACTGGAAATCATCTCTTATTGACATTACTCCAGGATTGAAATTGGGAGGAGGATCTGAATCTTCAATAATTTTTTACCTTAGAAAAATTGCTTATTAAAAGACTCCAGTCACATGCTTCCTAGCAGAATATTTAATAACAGCCAAGGGATTGAGTTTCCCAAGCACAGTCTCAGGAGGCACCACAGCAATGATTCCACAGGAATGGGATGAGCAGCAAGTCCTGAAGGGTGTGAGCAAGTCCAGGGGCCTTAGCCCTAAAGAGGGTCAAGACCCTTTGACAAACCCAAAATCAGCATCATAGAAAGACACAATTTTGTCCATGATTTAAATTCACAATTAAAATTTCTTAACGTAATCTTGAATGATTGTTATTTTATTGTACATATATATATATATATATATATGATCTGTAGAATAAAAATTTGCCTACCTAAACTTTTTTCTCAATGGAGAAAAACACAGTTCCTATAACATCTAAAAATTACCCAGATTTGAAAGGGCTTTCTTGTGCTTTGGATCTAGGCAGCTCTGAAGCTGTCTGCAGTTATCCAGCCTTAAGATATTACATCAATACTTTACAAAACTGATTATCATTTGGTACTTAACCAATGCAAATCGACTTAGGATAGAAATAAGGAGGTCTTAGGGGATTGGGAAAACCATGAATTAGCCACAAGGAGAGAATTAGAGATGTGTTTCTGTTTGGATGGATGTGCAAAAGCAGGGAGAGAGCACAAGAGAGCTTTCTTTTAGGGGAAAAAAAAAACCTAAACAAAAAAAACCCCAACGTTAATCCTCAGAAAATCAGCTAATGAAAAGAGATTGACATGAGAATAAGATCTTGAGTCTTTCCTTGACATAAGCTGAGGCAGCACAGTGTGTTAATTGAAACAGCACTTACTCTGGAGTCATTAAACAGAATATCCTAAAAACCACGAGTAGGGGACTTAAAACTGAAAAGCATTTAAAGTTCATTCCTGTCCCAAAAAAGTTTTTGCTGACTCCCAGGATAACAGATGTCTTTCCCACCTCGGGGGAAGTGCTCCTTACCCAGCCACGATGGTGGGCATTTGTTCCCTGTTGAACTCATCCATGCACTGGTGCTCTGTTGAGTGCTCCAAGAACACCTTAAAGGCCTCCACATACTCCTCAGCCGTGAGGCTTCTCATGGCAGGGATCATGTAGAGCTCTTGGGAAACAAACAGGGGTTGCATGTTAGAGGCTTTGAGGCATGTGAGGGGTCAAAGCACTTACCTCATGGGAGAAACCCAGCCTAACCCAACAGGAGCCAGGGATTTGGGAAAACAATGCAGAGGATGCACTTTCCAAACTGTTCACACTCAAGGTTCAATAATTACTCTTGGGCACCCTTTGACATCAGCATGTTTGCTAAGTGACTCATCACTATAGGACAGCCTGAGGAAAATGCCTCCAAAATGTTTAGCCAGATGTGGAGCTCTGTGTTGCAAGGGATGGAACTGGAGGCGTTTTCTGGAAAACTAAAGAAAAGGTGGAGGGAGTCACACGGTGGCTCCAAACCTGTGGCCACCACTGGTACCCATGCTGGAGAGAGACTGAGGGGGGCAGCTCTGGGCACACCTCCCAGGAGGGGTGATGCAACACAAACACTGCCACCTGCAGCTGAAGCAAAAATAGTCCACCCTGTGCATCTCACTGGTGCCTCTGGACAGCATGGGACAGAAATGGGCTGCCAGGGAAGGGAATTCCCTGCTGGGACCTGCAGCTTGTGGCCAGCAGGGCAACTGATGGCAAAACATGTCACTGAATGGGCTCCTGTTCAAATGTGGGTGACTGACACCAAGATCTCTCTCTCTGAGCCAAAACCAGGGATACTCAAGGGGTTCCAAGCAATTATTGCAAAGTCTCCCTTTCCTGCTGTCCCATCCTAAAGGCAGGGCAGCTGCCAGGGCTCAGGCTCTGGCCAGCTGCTCAGGGCTGAGGAGCAAAGGCAGGACTAAGGGAAGGTGTCCTGCTGTGCTGTGTCTGTCTCAGATCAATGCTGAAAAGGCATCATTCAATGGGGGAAAAATCAGCTTAAATGAAATGAGGATGAAGGACAGGGCTTGGCAGAATATCTTCATCCTCATTTTTGCCTTTCAAAGAGTTGCATTTTTATCACCTGCTTTTAGTTACCACTAGTAAGAGAATCATGTATGTATGTCTCATCCAGGACACTGCAATTTCAAAGTGAATGGCTCTGCTGTTTCCAAAAACTCATGCCCTTGGCAGCTGTGTTCCTGGTCCAGCCCCATTGGAGGTAAAGATATCGATGTCTATCCTCAACACTTTGAACTCTACCCTAACGTAAACCTGAATTGCACTCAGTTTACCATCCTGCTTCTTTGTCTTTTTTTTTTTTTTTGTTAACAATCTCTAACTCCAAAAGAATGAAAACATGTTTGTAGTGATAGCAACCTGAGTGGGCATTTTACTTTAATTCCTTTTTTCTTTTTTTTTCTCCCAAATACCTGAATTATCGTGTGGTGTTGTCAGAATCTCTGCTTCAAAGTTCATGCTGGGGAAACTATTCCTGTAAGGAAAGTATAGCACTTCAGTTATTTGAAGAACCTGTAAGTTTTTTTGAAGCTGCACTGAAAATGCAGAACAAAGGGAAAATGGTCCAGGACAAACTTTCCTATGCTGATAATCCATAATTTATTTTGTTCTTTTTTACTAGAGAAAGCCAAAACTTCTTTGTATCTGATCATAGCCATAGAATCCTAGAGTCAATAAAAGAGTTTGGGTTGGAAGGGACCTCAAAACTCATCTCATTCCAATCACCTGCCATGGGAAGGAACACCTTCCACTATCCCAGGTTTCTCCAAGCCCTGTCCAAGCTGGCCTTGGACACTTCCAGGGATTGGGCATCCACAGCTGGCCACTGCTCCAGTGTTTGCCTGAGATGTGCTGTGGAACCATTAACCAGTCATTGCAGCTGAAGGCATCAGACTGAAATTTTCCTTTCTTCATTTTCCTTTGACAATGTGCCTCATATTTAAAACAAGGATGAGGCAAAATGAAGGGATGCATTTAAATTGGAGCAAGGACCTCACTTCTGCCAAGACAGGCTTGGGATGAGGCTCTCTGTACAAAGGGAAGAGTCACCTCCTGGGTAACCACATTTTGAGATGCACAGCAAGTCTTGGGGGTGATATCCTCTATAATGTGTTTAGACACACCAAGGCTTTGCTGTGAGAAAATGCCTCAGGGCAGGCAGTCTGAGATAGCAGATCCCAGCCCAATAGTCTCCTCTAGGATAAAGCCAAGGATAAAAATCCCAAGTGAAGAAAAAATCAAGGCAGGAGGTGGAAAAGTAAAGAAGGGAGTTTGTAGTGGGGCTTTGAGATATAAATATGTAGGGACCATGTGGCAAGGAAGTGGCCACGTGCAAATACTGCACTGCTTTGGTCAATGAGGGCGAGAAAATACGGAGATATCCCAGAAGTCTGAGACACTGGGGCATTTCCAGAGTCCTGCAAGAGCAGCTGATTTCACCCGAGTTCAGTGCCACAGTCATGTAACTCATGTCCATGGGTGTGTCTCTCTTCCACCCACCCTGACCTCCCCTCTCCCCAGAAAAGAGCTCTCAGAAGCTCATCAGGAAGAGGCCAGAACCAGCCCACCTCCATCATCTCCAGCTTGGCTGCAGGCCACTCCCTCCAATTTCCACTCAACCCTCCAACCTCTTCCATCTCTGCCCACCACAACCCCCAGAGAGTTATTCTGTCTCCTGAGCTGGGTGAGCCCAGCAAGGTGCGTTTCAGAGTAAATCTCCCACTGAAATGCCGAAGGGTAGCATGGCTTTTCCTCTGCAGGGAGGAACAGTTCGAACATGAATTCCATTTCTGACAGGTCAAATGTTTCCAGCCATGCCAGGAGACCTGCCAGGGGACCTGAACAGACTTCAGCACAAGCATTCACCAGCACAGATGATGCCAAGATCTCTTCCACTGACACTTCTGCCATTTCTCCCGGCAGGGGTTAGATTCTGAGACTGATTAACACTTGTTGCTGGGAAGGTGAAACAGGAACAAATGGACTTCCTCTAAAAGCTGCTTAAAATCCAGAGCAGATCCTAAAACTTGCAAATAACATTTTGGGCTGGTCCTGGTCCCCTAACACCCAGGACTGAGGTAGGGACTGGCAGGGAGCAGGATGCCCACGGGCAGCTGGTCCTGCCACAGCTCCCAGCTAAGACTGAGCTTGCAAGGTTAAACCTCTTCCCTCCATGAACAGAGCTGGGTGCAACATGGACAGCAGCCACAGGGAAGTCACATTACTACTTTAGGTGATGCCGCCTCTTTAATTGAAAAGGTTTTCTCTAGGAAAACAAATTGCAAGAATATCTTCATAACTCATAAACGTCATTATTCCTAAACTTAGGCTGTGGAGAGGCTAAGGGGGAAATATTCCCAGGCCACGGGCACATCTGCTGCTCCTCCCACCTCCCGCACAGCCATCTGTGACACAGAGCCAGCAGGTGGGGAACGCCATCCCGCTCCTGCCAGTACCTCTTCAGCTCCGGAGCCGGCTCCATGCTGGCTGGATGCTGTGCTGAGGGTCCTCGTGGATCCGGACACGGGGCTGCGCTGATATCAGATCCTCGTGGGTCCGGACACGGGGCTGCGCTGATATCAGATCCTCGTGGGTCCGGGTCGCTGCGGTTCCGTGACCGGCAGCGGGGCCGGGGCCGGGCTCAGCCAGGCCAGGCCAGCATGTCCCGCACGGCTCGGCTCGGCTCGGCTCTGCCGGACCTGTGGGGACAGCAGCGTCAGCGGGGCAGGGACAGGGGGAAACCCGAGCCCCGGGGGCAGGAGCGGGAGCCAGGGCGGGCAGAGCGTGTCCTCATGGAGCGGGGGAGGCACAAAGGGACACCCTGGGACTGCCGAACCTTCGGAGCCTGAGGGGTGTGAGCCGGGCGGAGCGGGGACATTTCTGTCCCTTTTTAATGCGCTGTGAGCCCGGTCTGTCTGTCCTGCTCGGGGCAGGAGGGAGGGAGCGCTTCCCTGCATCCTGGCCGCTGCTGCCTGCGGGATGCGCTGGGAGATCCCTGCCTTCCTCAGGGATCCGGAGCTCTTTGGCTGCCCGGGCACCTGAGCAAGCGATTTTTCCGTCTGTCACTCAGGGGAAAACGGGGCACAGTGGCAGAAACTCTAGCGAGCACTGCAGCCCCGGCAGCCTGGCACCCCCTCACGAAAGAGACAGGGGCAGCGAGCCCAGCCGGCTCACTCTGCTTGTTAAACTGCAGGGATTAGAAAGCAAGGAAATATTTTTGGGGACAGCTACCCAGGCCAGAGGTGGCTGGAGGTCCCCAGGAAGGTGCAGTGATCACTGTTTGAAACACAAAAATCCTGGGTGCTCCCTGCACTTGCCTCTGGATTTTCCCCTACCTTCACCCACAGAACTGGTGCTCGTATTGCCTGAAATCTAATAACACAAATGTAAAAAAGAAAGGACTTAACCTCCTACCTTGCTGAGATCCCCAGAAAACGTCCTGCCCCACACAGATCGCCTAGACCAGGAAGCTCAGCTGGAGATGCTTCACCATCAAGTGACCTGCCTTGGTTTGCACTAGACTGAGCTTCCAGATGGATTTAAGTTATCCACCTCAAGGCAGGTCCACAGCAGCAGCACATTAAGCCAGGAACAGCTGCATTGCTACTCTTCAAAAAAATATTCAATATATTCCAGGTGAGGGAAGACCAGAACCTCTTTGCTAGGTCTAAAGTGCACCTTTGGCTCCTGGTGTGACTGTTTGGGCAGTGGTCTTACATCAGTTCATTCAGTCCCACCAGAGATTCCATCCCAGACACCAACGTGATGCACCTGGAGCATCCCAGCCGAGCCCCAAGCACTGCCCCGCAGCAGCCTCGTGTCCCCCAGCCACCTCTGCTTGTCCCAGCGTCACTCTGACCCCCAACACCACCCCCAGCCCCCCGTGCCAAAGCCAGGGTGGGCACCCCGCGGGTCCCAC